GCAGGTAAGGTGAATAATCTTAAATGGAAAGGAAGAGAAACAACATTTGAATGGAGAGCTCCCACGCAGTGTCATGCATAGAGATCCGTAACCGACGACCAGAGTGACTTGTATGGAAATGGGAAGAGTCTCTGTGTCCACTCCACCTTAGCTGTGCCAAATCCACTGGTTGAAAGGCTCATGGTGTGTAGCAAGGGGAAGAATAGCATTAAGGAGGACGTGAAGTTGTAACAGAAGGAAGGAGACGAGTGTGAAATTGCGAGTTGTTGATGTGAGAACGGAAAGGTAGGCAAGTGAAGGTGTTTATATTTATGGTAGAGGTGATGATCCGCATAAAAGACTGGAAATTTGGGGTGAATGTAATGCAAAGCCGAGCCTTCATGCTAACCATCGTGATGGAGGTTGTCCCGTGTGTGCGCAGGCGGGTCCACCTTTGCCTCGTTTGATAATGTCGAGGCTTACGTAGTTAGACGCAGCAGCTACTGGCGCCTAAAAGCACGAATTGTGGGGGCTTACTTAATGACTTAGAATGTTTGTTGACCAGCATGACTAGTTCAAAGCAACTTCTGAAAATGTTGTCAAGAATAAACCCAACCCTAGATCACTTAAAATGGCCATGAACGTCAAAGTCTATGGCGAATCTCCTCAGGCCCCACTAGACAACCCAAGCGTATGTAACACGCAGGACTTTGCGTTCGGTCAAAAGTAAATGCACGGCGCACTATCACGGAGGGCAATTAGAGCGAAAGAAGTTATATTTCGCTAATACCATGTCGAAAACTGCAATCACCTGCGAGACGTCCGAGAAGCCCATAACGAGACTTAATACGCATTCAAACGTCCCGACACTACTTAGTCGTTCACTTCAATGAAGGCCTTGATTTTTGCTAGAACTTCATCCGGAAGTCCTTATGACGCATCGCGGCTCAATAATTACCGTAAAATTATAGTGCTAAGAAGAGGCGTGTTAGCATTGTTAAACCATTCTAGACAGAGCGATCTCCATCGCCGGCTGGAGTGTTGCGAAATATCGCCTCCAGTTGGCGCAGTACTCTGGTGCCTGCGCTTTTGGTATTTGATCTTGGAAAATTGGAATGCCTTAGTCTAACCGTTCCGGAGACTGTCCCATATATCGGCTACCCAAACCCGTCTACAATGTCAAACCTGATGTTAACAGAGTCATATACAAGAGGATATTGAGGTAAACTTGTCTTCTGATCCCGCTATTCTTCCCTATGCTCCTTCCTTTCTGTCCCCTCCCCTTCTCCATCTGCGCCTTCGTGTGGCACTACATTTGCATCCGCGTTCGCAATCACCTGCTCGGCCATCGTGGCGTCTACTAAATTAGACCGCAGACCTTGCTGTAGCTGTGGATGGCGAAAGAGACGGCGATGACAACAGTGAGGAAGTAAAACGCGTCATGGAAGGTGGCGGGTGCAACAGCTCTTCATTATACCACTGGCTCTCAC